AAGAAATTGATATGTTACTGGTCAAAGCTGAAAGTACGGTAGGTTTGAATGTGCCAACCCCTATAGCATCAGAAAACCAGTTATATCTCCTGTGTAATGAAACCAAAAATTTACCGTTTGGTTTGAAACCAAAAATGTAACATCTGGTTTAATTATCCAAGTTTGAGGTGTATCGGTTCAATTACCCATGTTTGAGATAAGCACACAGCACCTCAAACCTGGGTCATTGAATTATCGACAAAATGGATTATCGACAAAATCAGAGCACAGCTTAGTTCTCAATTAATCTCTCTGGTTCAAATGTCGTCGAAATTCGCATCCCATGAAGCCACAAAGTTGTGAAAAATGGTTGACAGCATCAATTTGAGATGTCCTTTGTGGAAATCGCAGCATGAGTGCTAACGAATGTCGACGTGAACAATCTAAAAAATCTCGCAATGTACATTAGTGTTCTGATGACCAGAAATTGTGCCAGGATTATGCTCACACGCCAGCTATCAGCTGCTGACAAAATTTCACAATTTTTTCTCTCACATGGAAGGATGCTTTGGAATGAATGACTTTCATCGAAAACACACATGTTTTGACTTCATTATCATTTGCATTATTTGATTCCGATCGTTTGATGCGTGCAATTGATGACAACGAGTTTTTCAGTTTCCGAGGATCTGAATTATTTCTCGTCCAATTTTTACGGAGAAACCTCATCATGAATGGAATGAATGCTATTTTCATATCGGTTTATTTCGAACTATTTATGCCATCGCAAGCATTTTGGGATGGCTGGTCCAACAACGCACGCGATTTCAAAGGAACTGGAAGGGTAGGAATTCCATACTTTTAGTTGTTGCTCAAATTGATCAAAACATAACTAGTGAGGTAATTTTAGACTACATCACGTGTTCTGTCCCCTAATTGTACAAATATTATTTGTTTTCATTATATCAGCGCGTCGGAACGAATAACCTCGGATCAACAAGGTGAGGAATTCTTCGCATAACGTTGGAACAATGTTGCCGACCAGCGATTTTTCGAAGCGAAGGCAATGAGAAGTTTAACGTTTGATGTAGAGTCTTGTTCACGACAGTCAGAAATCCAGCCGTAGTTGACACTCGCACAATTGTCTCGTGCTCTAATCGTTCATACCGCATAATCACTTGTGATGATTGCGTTAAGCCCCGGATTACCGACCGACGGTTACATGAACAATTAAGTGAGCATTTCGAGTGGTGAACACCAATGTAGATTCTGTATCATATCCAGACCATCAGACCATTCTGTATCGTATTCAGACCATGCTGTTAAATCAACAAAAATCAATTTTTATATCAATATGGACTCCAAAAAATGTTTTGTAACACAATTTGGTTATTCGTAGTAATTTTGCCCACACTAATAAATTGATTATTCCATTCGTAGTAAGCTGCAAATTTAATCAGAGATCAACACTAATCACTTTATTGACAGTGATCCGCCGAACGCCTCTATAAAATACCCGTATTAATCAAGCGTCATATCCGCTTATTCACCTGTTATTTCCTCCTTTTCTGTTTCTCTTTTCACCTGTTATTTTCAACAAATCATTGTTGTTGTCGTTGCCAATTTTTGCTGAACCTTTTTGATAGCCTAAATTTCTGCAAAAGCGTACTCAATTTCATTGATCACCACAACTCTGTTAATCGCGCGCACAAAACAAATAGTTTTTGGTTAGTTTCTAAAACCTGCCTTCCTTATGTTTATCTTATGCACCTGTTTTATGGATTCCTTCATAAATTGCCTTATAAATTTGCCTTTGAAGCTTGCCCGTAAGAATTCCATACATTCTTAAAAGCTATTTTAAATGCGAATTCGTCGAATTCAACGCAATGAGCGCATATGTGATTTTTGTTCTAATACGGTTTAATTTTGTTGATGTTTGCAGTTTGCGTTTGAGTTGGAAACGTTGCATTCTTCATATTTGGGTTTTTGATTCAGCAAAACATTTCCTACCTTACCCAATCAGTCCCGAACCTGCTGTCTGCTTACGATTAGCGGTTCGAACAGAAGCACAATTTGCTGAGTGCATGTACACCTCTTAAAAACTGACTTCGTTTGGATCAAATTTTCCTGGCGCTTCTTCGTAGATCATTTGTGTGAATCCTTCAAATTGCCACCAGTAGATGACTCCTTTAAGTCGTTTATGCGAGGACAAATTTCGGTGGCTCGTACTGTGCCCTGTAATTCTGAAAATCTGAAGCAATTTACAATTTTCAAGGGAATAGATTTCTGTCAAAATAGATTTCTGCTTCGTCATGTCGCAAGCGAATGCATCGATTCGTGCCCAGCGAATATTGCTTAACTTATCGCTGATCTCTTGCTTTGGATTAGCTCAAGAGAATGTGTTCAATGGCGGCGCATTAGAAGACTATCTGAGATGCGCATCTGTTGAGTGGAGTACTGCTTATGAGCGATGTGGACACCCCTTACAAATACCGAATTCAGTGCTACACCCTCTCAACTTCGGGCAGACGATACAAGCTATCCCTGCAGCATTGCCAACTGATGCACTCAACATTTTACAAGTAACGTAAATGTATTTTTTCACTGAATAATTTCAAAAATTCACACCAACAAGTCCGACATGATCAGTTACTATCTTCAATAAATGATTCTAGAAGCGTCATCATGGCTTCAAGTATCGGACATTTCAGGGTTCGATTCAACCTTCAGAAGCCAAATTGAATGCATCGTTCTACATCGAATCTCGGTGCCCGGATACAACCAGATTCATTCGATATCAACTTGGACCAGCATGGGAGAAGTTGGGATCATCGAATCACATCACATGGAACATAATTGTATTCGGTAAAGCAAAATGCACGCCAAAAGGCGACCATGATTTCAGGTTAAGGACTGATTTGTGAAGCTGCTGTTCATTTCGTTCATTCCCTGTTGAGTTTCAAATTGGACACGTGGACATGAAATGATGACCATCCTACATGAGTTTCAAAAGCGTAAAAATTGATCCGTAACAGCTACTGTGATCATTCTGCGCCGTGCTCATCAGCACTGTAATCATATTGCAGTTATTGCGCACCCTGGGAACAGCATTATCATTCATTTGATCGAATTAATAACTGTTACGTAAACATAAAACCTGTACAGTTTGTCTCCGAACGTATTCCATCAGAAGAACGACCCTAAAATTGATGTACTTTCAGCTGCATTTGCCAGCATGGAACCACCGAATGCGAGTTGAATCAACTGATGAATTGCGTAATTAAGCGGCTGCATGATATCAATCTATATTTCCCGGTGATATATTGCATACAGAATAGGCGCAATCTTAAGGATGCCCAGCAGCACTGCATTGAAGGACAACTTGAATCGGCAGCCAGGTATTTTGTTCTCGTGCATTTCGTTCAACACGGTGCATTACGTTGCAAAACAGAAAGAAGTGATGTAATTTCTTTACACTTCTAACTAACATGTCGATTATACTCGTAGCAACCATTTTAATTATATCCGCCTACTTCCAGCATAATGGCTTGTGCGAGCGGAGCAGAAGGACGCGGGCTACTGGCTGATGCCGGAGCACAAACAAGTCAATTACAACCACCACTGAACTTCGTGCCATGGATCACAATCAATGGCTTTCGATCTGTGAACTCCGTTTACAATCTGTTCCAGGAACTTTGCAACCAACTTATACCGCAACCTGACGTGTGCTTGAGACAAAACTTCTTTCAGTGGGGCTGATTTGAATTCTAGAGCCGAAACGAAGTTTCGTTCCCTTTAAAAAAAGGGAAACGAAATTTCCCTTTTTCTCCAGGGGCTCCCTCTGTTCAGTTTATTCCGAATGTACGTATGACTGAGAAATTCGTTCTAGGTTGTTTAATGGGCACATCTACAAAAATCACTATTTTTGTAGCATTGCTGATTGAATTCATAAAACAACACGTAACTCGTAAGATAGTTGTTAAGGCAGTCGTCTTCCCCGGAACATTTGAGTGAGCAGTCTGCAGCAATAAGCTGAGGAGGACTCTCAACCTTTCCATCCGTCCAGCTAATTTTTTACGAGCAAACAAGTGGGAGTTTATCTAGGAAGCTTATAATGTAAATCACTTTCCATACTGTGAAATGCGTTGTATAAAAGTGATATGCTCTTCATTCTCACAACTCCATTGTGTTTTGCCACATTGATTCGAAACTGTACGAGAATGTTTGCAAGCCGGAAAGAAAAGAATCAATCACTTAAGTAATATTGATAAGCAGAAAGCGGTCTGACAATGAAGACGTTCTGACGAGAAATATTTTGCGAACACAGTTAATTTCAAGGTGATCATTCGCATATTGTCTTGACCAATTGATATGATGGAAAAAATTGGAGAAAGCGTTATAGAGGCAATCAGAAATGCTGCATATGGCACCAGCAGTGGTTTGCAATAACGTGCATATAGTAGGTCCTCCCTTCACTTCTAGCCGCTAAAAACATGGGTTCATGTTCGGAGCTGATTCGGATAAAATAGCGATTGCTCAGAAAAATTATCGCCGAAATGAAAAAGGTCTATTGTTGTTGGTTTACTCCCAAATCGTTGTTGAGGGCTCAGAATGATGAAAATTCCGAATCAACGGCAACGTATAATGAATTCAAATCGTTTTTAATAGAAATACTGAAATCAAAAAGCACTGATAATATGTGCTTTTGTGCATGGCTGCATAATTGCCGACATGAATATTCGTAAAAGATGGTGATACGAAGAGTACAAAAAGATGAACAACGAGCGCGACGGTTTCAGTGCTGACCAAAAACCATAGTGAGCGTACGGCATATCACATAGAAGAAAGCTGTTGCGGGTACACTGAAATATAGAGGATTAAAATGTAAAGTGTACTATATCTCTAATCCATTTGGTCTGTCATTTATGCAAATTAATGTGCTGACAGATCACGAAAACAGTATGAATTGATTAGGGAGAGGTTTTCATAGACTGACTGAGGTTTTTTGGAGCTAGCGATTGATGCGATCGCAATAAAGAATAAAAGGACATTGCAATGTGCGATGTGCATATTGAGCTAAAGGTGTGTTCAAATTCGACAGCTTAACGTCATCGAAACGTCAAAATCTATAAAACAAGTCCGTCAACTTCAACTATGTTCTGCGGTTGTCAGTTCATCGTTTCAACATAGTTTTTACAGTTATGGAACGACTGAATTAGTGAATGTGCTGATCCAGTTCCACGGCACATTTTTTACCTATTGCCTGGCCCTAATTGACCAGTTGATCTTTTTATAGATTCCCGAAATAGTTAATTACTATGTGACTGGTATCAATTGGCAACACAAATTGTGTTGTTCATGCGGGAGTATTTAAGGGATAATGTATTCTTCACGTCTTGATGCTTATACTCAGAGCGAACTACTTCATTTTTCCGATGAAAATGGCTTGAATTCAAAGCATTGACGAAAAATAATCAATCGTTTTAGCTGTCAACATGTATTTCCGTCTGGCTACTGGATTTCTTCTTTGTTGGGCACTTTTCGTGGACGCCGAAGTTACATCTAAAGATGCGAAGGTGGCAGGAAACGTGAACGCTGGAAGCGCAGGCACCTTCGTCTATAATAATGTTAACGATCCACGGATACTCGTGAGTTCAGTTTCCCTTGAATTCCTGCAGGGATTCAAGTACAGCTGTCTGAAATGTGAATGCTTGGATGCCTCATGAGGCATCCAAGCATTCACATTTCAGAGAGCTGTACTGCGAAAAATTCATGCCGAACGTTCTTCCAAGCAATACAGCCGAACGAAGCAGTCAGTTTCAAAATTCATTCCAAGAGGCTTGGACCATCTCAAGCAGGGGGATTCTTTTTGTGTATCGTTTGCTAACTTTTCTTTCTCGATCGTTCTCTACTACCCAACATTCACATCAGTCGTCCTGAAAATCAGCAAGTGTCTTCGTTACAGGTTCTGGCTGACAAAGCGATCACCACAATCAACTTGCAGTCAAAAGGACGATACTATTACACATATACAGAGATCATCAGCGCAAAAACACAAGTAGCAAAGGGGATGGTAACAATTCTCGAACTTCTCGTTGCACCAATTATGTGCAAAAAAGACGTAAGTGCTTGCCACTTTACTTGGTTACATTTAGATCTGAAGTTTCTGAATAAGATGAGCACCAGGAACGTGTCCTTTCGTTATTTGTCATCAATCACTGAATAATCTTTAATGACAACTGGGCAATAGCTCAAGCCCATTATCGACCAGTATTTTAGCTAACGTAAACCGATGCTAGAACATCATGATTTATGAAAAATATTTGAGCAGCCGTTCAATGAAGGAGAATTCTTTTTGTTTGTTCCATTCAGAAGGAAATACTAATAGAATAACGTTCTTAATAAGAAAACATACGTTGAGCAAAATCATAACAGGAAAAACCATTCAGAAGGCACAAACAGTGCTCTTAAACTGATGTGAGTAAATTGTTTCTTTTTTTTCAGGATTGTGAGCTGCAACCGAATGGACGAGAGGTTGGATTTGTTCGCTCTATTTTACATTACAATTTAAATGGTCTTAGATTGCATTCCAATCATTTATGACACCACGAAATTGAGAAGAATTATGAGTTTCTTGAAAGAGAAATTTAGGTTTGCCTTGTATCGTTTTGGCAAAGAGCAGAAGATAAATACGGTCAAATGAACGTTGAAGACTGCGTACCGTTACGAGGTTTAATTGAGAGATGCACTCAATCAAGGCCAGTGCAACCTCGACCAATGCCTAAACCTGCAACTGTTAACAGAAAAGTATCGGGTGCCTTGCAAATGATAAATGTCAGCTTACCCGAAGTTCAGGTATGTACATTGTCCTCTAGACGGCAAAAACTCTCGAACAATACATTGAAACGATCGGGCAGCGTCGAATCGATTCTTTGCAAACGTTTTTATGATAATCAGGAAATTTCTCACACTAGAAAGCTGTATTCTTGGGTAAATCGACTTATTTCAAAAATTGATCTCCTTTCTATCATGTTTTGCGTGAAACTGTATGGAGATGCATTGAGTGATTAATAACGTGACGAATGATCTGGGAAGTTGTTATCTATATCACTGTATTTACAGAAATTAGCCGATGAGGCTGTAAAAGCTATTCGTGTTAAAGTGCCTTACGAGAACTACACACAAGTGCTTCGCAATGTTGAAAGTGCTGCGGTGCAGGTTGTGGGTGTCACGAAATTCCATCTGGCGGTGCTTGTGGGAACCGTTGCTTGCGAGAAAAACGTGAGTTCACAAAGAATGATTCTCGAATGATCACCTTTCATGTTTTTTGTGCCTCTCGTACTTTTGTCTTTTAATCTGACACCAACATCTGCTTCATCTAACTATTTTTAGTGTACTGATGATACACCAGAAAGTGAAATTCTATCACTTTAAATAATTCCATCGTCAAAGTATCGTTAAATTATTGTATAGTTAAATTCTATCCTTAAAGTTCCTATCAGATCGCTTTTTCACCTAAATTCTTTTCTTATTTTCAGAAAACCATAGAGGGTTGTGCACCGGAAGGAAAAGGACGAGAGATGGCAAGTTTTCAGAGTTGTTTGAAGGCGATTGAACATTGGAGTACCAACTGTTACCTCAAATTACCTCCTTTTCATCGCAGACAGTGCAATATACAAAAGTGATCGATGTATCTCTCTGAGATTGAGCTGAGTCCAATTAAACAAAGAGAGTTACAGTAACTACATCAGTGATGAAAATTTCAGCGATGTATCGTTTCTATTTGGCGCCAATCGGGTGCCAACAATCCCGAGGTAATCGAAATTGTGAGCTGCGTCCGCACTGATGTACCTGTTACTAGCAATCAAACGAAGACTGGCAAGCCAAGTAATGGAATAGAGAAGCCCACCTCGAGTAGCCAAAGGAAAGAAGAAAGATCAAATGTGCAGAACAACGAGAAAACTTTGCACAGCACAAAAGTGGATGCAAAAAAGCCTGAAGAAAAAAATGAAATAAAGCCGAGTGACTCAAAAAAGGCCGAGAATTCCGTGGAACAGAAAAATGACGGACAGCAAAAACAACTTGAAAAGGCTGAAACATCAAATGTAACGAAGGCACAATTCCAACCAGTGGATGTCAACGATCCAAAGATGAAGGTAACAATTCACATTAAATATCCATTATGTACATCTAACGAACACAGATGAATCTAGCGTGTCCTTCATTTTTGCCAAACACAACGCGTATTAATCATCGTATTAATCATTCATCGTATTAATCAGGCATGGCTGACGTATAATTACTTGTTCATGAGATTGACAATAGATCAGCTCGTTCCGATTTGTGTGTTTGACGTTCATCAAATCATTTTTGCATGAGTTGCGCTGATGAACAGACTGCAAACTGATTTTGAGTAAAACCTTTGCTTAGTGAATTAACTATATCCACTGTAGCTCAGTTGTTCAGAGCAGATAGTTGACAATTGACACCTTGGAGCTTTCATTCTCACTTAAAGGAAATTGCTTTATTCGAATGCGAATGGTGCATTAATGTCACTAGTTCTCAGCTTTGCTATAATCTCACTAATTTAACTATCACTTCTTACTTATTGTGAGCGTATGCGTCTTCATCATCATCAGACATTATAAATTGTGATAGTTCTCCGTTTTTTTTCCAAGCTGGAAAAGATATGCTAAATCACCTCAAAATTGAAAACCAAACGCTCATTAAAACTTCATATCGGCCATCGATCCAGTGTTCACAAACGGTTCCAAAATTGCTTCGATTTGATCCAATGAATTGCTTGCGAGATTCGCCATCATTCGATAAAGATGAAACATTTGGACAGGAAACTAAAGAACAAGAAATGATGAAAAAAAAGTTGAAAGCTGACGAAAAAATCATTTAAAAAATTTTAGGGAAGTAATGCGTAGTAATAAGAATTTTAGGCCTTAGCTGATAAAGCAGTTGAGGAATTGAACAAGAAAGTACCAGAGAATGGGTTCAAAATGGCCATCACGAAAATCCTTGACGGTAAACAGGAAATGGTAGACGGTACTAAAGTCAACCTGAACGTTCTTGTTGAGACAACCGACTGCAAAAAGAACGTAAGATGATTTAGAAGCATTTGTGGTGAAAACCATGTGATCATTAAGATTATAATCGAAAAACTAGTGCTGATAAGACACAAGAGAGCATTAAAATCGGCTGACCATGCAAATCCTATTGGATGAATGCACACGAACGATTTTGATGGAATTTATTCGCTTGACTGAATGAATAAGTGTTTAAGATACTCAAAGCACCATATTGAATGGTGCGTTGGCTTAACATTCTCTAAAGTTGCTTGTGATTGCAGGATGATCCGAAAAAGAAATGTAATATTAATGCAGCTGGACCGAAAATGGTATAATTTTCAGCTTTATTTTCTGCACAAAATGGGAGCGAATATGTCATTCGTTCAGGAGCTGTCGCTTTCTAAATGCCTTGCTGATTGTGAGCATAGGATTATTCAAACGTTTTCGGTAGTAAAAATGAGAACATCAGTAAAATACGACTAATAGAACTTGAGTAGGAAACAAAATTCCTTGAAACTACAGTCCCATCGTGCGAAATAATAAGCATTCTGGATTTTCTTCACTGTCATAAAATACAGTGAAATATGTGCCGGGAACTATGAAACTCACTTAACTTGTACCTTACTTGCATAAAAAATCATTTCAGCAATGCGAAGTTAAAATCTGGGACAAATTGGACAAATCCGGCTATGTCAAAGTTGGAGCCTGTAAGATCTTTGACACCAAATCAAAACAGCAGTGAGCGGCCGTGCGTCAAGATCATTTTTCATTCGTTCTCACCGTAGCGCGGCAAGAAACATATGAAAGAATAAATATATGAATCAGATTTTGCATTCTCTCAAAATCTGACTCCAAATTGAATGCTGTATTCAACCACTAATTCTTTTGTTTTATGCTCAACAATATCAATGTTATCATTAATGACTTTGGAATCGTTTTCAATAATTTTACAATATATATATTTGGACTGAATTCACGAATGTTACCTCAGCTGCGAGCAGACACTTTTCCTAATCAAGGAGGAAATTTACACAGTTTGTGAGCGATCTCATCCATCAGCTATGATCTTGCCAGTGATTGCTATTGCTATGTGCATCCCAACAAACAACGAGAATAAGTGATGCATCAGGCAGTCCCTGGTTGCGCATTACATTTTCGTAGGCGGCGCTGTTTGCAAAATCCTGAATCCTCGGATTGTTTTTCGATTCCGGTATAGTTCAGTGATTCGGCAACTTCAGAAGTATAGAACTGTTATGTGTTCAGCACACTCTTTCTTGAATCAGTACCTTCATAATTACTTGTGAAACAATTTATTGGATGTATCGTGCAGTTAATAGCATTTTGAAGTCTGGAAACAAAGCATCAACATCAAAATAAAAGTACCGCCCAGATAAAATGCCAACAAATCACTTATATGTAACAGTATCTTACGTTCTTCTGTCGACAACTCCAGTGAAGCATTTTCATCTGCTTGGATCTTGAATAAAAGGAAGCCATACATATTCTTCGTCAACATTTTCCTTTGAAAATGTCAAAAGTATCCAACTTATTAGAATTTTGTTAAACATGAACAAAATTCAACAATAATGATTGCAAATATAGTGAAAATGGCATCGTAAACAACTTGAAATGATCAGCAACGCTGTGAGAAAAAAAAATCGTAATAAAGATTTTCCTTCCAATAAAATATTCACACAATGCAATTCAATGAATTTTGAATAACGTACTGGGAAATATCCGAGCGTTGAGGAAGACGTCACACTTTTAGTGCGCGTGCAGTCATTTCGTAGATGGATCCATTTGCATTTCTGGCATCACAGCATGATAAACATTTGACAGGTTTATTTTCTTTTTTGAATGAACAACGTTCATGACAGTGAGCATGATTACTGACTGTTTCCTGCTCCTCACCAACCCCTCATTTGGGGATGATGTGGGGGCAGTGGCATGCTTACTTCTCCGGAAATCGTTGTTTCTGTGATAAATACTGTCTTCGTTCTTGGTACATAACATATTTGCTGTGTCGCCACTTAGACGTTCACTTACCTAGGGAAAGCTGCAAGAGAACTTCTGATCATCTATGATCATTTGATCTTTGATCGAGCAAACAGCGAGGTCACTGGGCCTTCCCATCGTTTTTTCACCCATGAGCTCAGTGGCTATTTCTCAGTCTAAAGTAATCATCAGCACAATCTAATCCTAGGGTTCCATATTGAATGTCTCTTGATGCCGGAACATCCAAAATTTCCATCAGCACATCCACAGTTTACATTAGAGCTGAACGAATTTGAGCAATGAATAAGTGCATGAAAGTAAGGAGTAAATCTAAACAAGGAAAGCAAAAGCAACGAATGAACTGATTCTGCGTCACTAGAGGTTCCAGCAGGATGCTCAGAAGATCAAATGATGGTGCAGTGCGTGAGGTTGATAAGGCAGAAAACGTCGTTTGCAGGAGTAATCAGGATAATCAGGAGTGTTTCTGTTGAATTGACTACGCTTTGGTGAAACGTTTACGAAAAAAAAAAGAAGTAGCGTGATGAAGGGCACGGAAAATCGCATCACAAAACCTTCAAAGGACGTTTTAGGTTACTGCATTTGGCTACTACTGCTTATTGCTTATTTGAAATGCATAGATCAAACATTAATAAGTGAATGGTTTTAGCGCTGATTATCGAAATATTGCTTCACCATACAAACGAAAAATCTTCTTGAGAGTATTTCTGCTCACTACTAGCTCCTTCCGATGACAAGCTGTCGTCATGCTTATAGTCAATTTTTACCAGTTAGAGCAATTGATGAATTTGTGCTGCTTGAATTGGTTAACAACGTGCATTCTAATATTGGAATGCTCATACTAGAATCTCATAAATCGTCATTATCGAACTACTGCCGCATCCACAGTTCGGTGAATTATTGAATGTGCATCGAAATTTTTTAAATGAATCATGCACTATGGGAATTGGTGTTTTTAGGGTGAGAAAAGCAACCAACCAACATGAAAATGCACAAAGGTCGTTAAATATTTGATAAATTTTTACAGTAAATCTTGAATGTGAAATAAATTTTAATTGCTAAAATATGGCATCTGAAATCTTCAATCAAATTCATTTGGAAACGGAAAAGCGCTACATAAGAAGTCGTTGTTCCCAGCAATATGCCCATTAGCAAGCAGAGCGTTCCAGCTGGGTGTATGACATATGCTATTGCCGTAGTGCTCGACCGATCGAGGCATATGAACCGGTCGAAGGACGTTCCAGTTGATTTCTCACAGACAGCTCAGGATGAAGTGTCAGACTACGACTGCGCCTTCGAATTTCGGTGTCTGACTGCTTAGTAAACCTCTTGAGTTCCCGCGTCTTGTAGCTGCTCTTTGATCATGAAAAGGCCGTTGTAAGAAGCTTTCTTTGACAAGCCGATCAGACTAGTGAATCGAAAATATAATCATCAACAGCCACAGTCTATCCGTTTCATTTCTTGCTTCTGGAATCCTCACTCGGATACTCAAATGCTCAATTGAGGGCTGCAAGTGATTTAATTTCGATGGCCCGTGGCTCGCCATACTAAAATCTCGTTAGGTATATATGTTTGTCCGGAAAAGCTGGCTTCGATACTTAGCTAACGAACATTTTTGCTAGTAATCTGAACTTCTTTGACATAGTTTCAGCAAACGATCCGTCTCATCATGCACATTGCCGCAGTTTCCACAATCTTCTTTCTATGCGTTGCTCTCGGTCAGGTACGTGCTCAGGGGGTACCCGCTTTGTTGGGCGGCCTCATGAGACGAAGTGTTTACCAACCGGGCATAGAGGTAAGAACCTCAACTATTGGACATTCCATGCCCATAATGCGATAATCAGCTTTTACACATATATTTTGAATGCTTATCATTGTTATGAAAATCGTTCTGACATGTTTTTTCTTTATACATCCCACGATGCATCGCTGCTACATTCAGTGTGTTTTTCTGGAACATTCAGCGGATTTGATACGAACACTTTCTTTGCGGATGAACTTAACCACTTCGATGAACACTGCCCATAATGGGATGGCTGTTTTGGTTTCAGGCTGTCGCCAGATTGGCTCTTCACGAAATTAACGCTATCTCGGATCGAATCTATCTTGATCGACTCATTGCAGTTCTGAATGCTCAAAGTGAAGTTGCTGCCGGTACCGCTACCGTTTTGCAGCTTTTAATTGGGCCTACCAAGTGTCCCAAATATGTTGGTTACCTTGGAGCAATTCTTAAAGCTCTTTCATCGTTGATCACTTCTATTGTCAACTGCTAAGAAAGACGCTCAATTTTCATACGTGAGAGACAAAAAGTAGATGTGAAAAGCAACGATTTTATAATAAAAAGAAATTCATATCACTGATCAACCGAAGCAAATTGTTGGTAAACCTAATCACAAGCGTATCAACTGCATCACTTTTGTGCTGAAATTGATTTAGGATAACTAGTAGTGGGATAAGGCACTGATCGAGCAAAATTTTCAAACGCATTGTATCTATTTCAGAATCCCGTGGTAATGCAGGCTTGTATGGCAACCCTTGCGGATCCAGAGGTTGGCTGTTTTATCTGCAATCCGAGGAGATAGACTTCTATAAGTCATAGACAATTAACTGATAAAAAAATTTAGTGCAGTGAACAAACCAATAGTGTATTATCACAAAAACCTCCGTTGGTTGTAAATGCAACACTATTGGCATGGCCAATTACCCCCCTTGTGCAATCCTCAGCGTTCTCCATCATGTGAAACATTATGCCAAAGGAAACGATCACAAACTTTTCGCAAAAGCAGCTTTCTTCCACTCATCAGATATTCAATTTTGACAGCCCAAAACTGACCACTGTGTTGAAAATCCAAACTTAAACCGAAAAGTTTCAAAAACCCGAAACCCAAATAACGCGTAATGACCAGCGGAGAGCATGTGATGAAATTCGTCTAAATCGGATCAAATGACTGATCAGCTTTTCGTTGGTTCATTTGTTGATTCGTTGCAGACTTTCTTCTTACCGCCACAGTACGGACCAATCCGAAGATGCACAGTTACAGTTGTTCAGAAACCTTGGCAGAATTTCCAGCAAGTGAGCGTCAACAGCTGCACCTCTGTTCAGTTCTATTAAGATAGTTCATGTAGATTCGATGGATTGCTGGGAATGACAATTTTAAGACCAACTTAAATCTGTGTGGATTTTAGATACTTCTAAAATGTGGACAGAAAATGCGTTTGCTTTATTCCACGATATTTTATCAATTGCTGTCGATGAATCATCGATGTTCAAATGTTAATCGTTCTCATTTTGCCGAATAAATTACGTTGATTCATTCATCTATTGCGCTCACCAGATAGTCACTATCAGAGTGTTTTCACAGAAGGAAAAGATATGCAACGTTTCGTTACAGTATCACTCTCCGAATGCTCTTACCCTCTCCTATGAGCAATTAAATTAATAAAGGTGATTGTTATAATTAAATTAAAGTGTTTGCGTTATTCTAGCCTGGCTAATGAATGCAGAAATGATTTTATGAAATTATAGTGCAAGTTTGTGGACTGATGGGTGGGAAAAGTGTGAATAGATTAGTGAATTGGATTCATTCGGCAATCCTGGCTTCAAAAATTCTCGCTTCAACTACAAAGCGCTCGGACAAAAATGCTGTCTGCATAATCAGATTAATGAATATGCACATTCTGGTTTTCCATTTGCACACTGTGGGCGTTATGGGCAATAAGGGCATAGTTCAGTGGTTGTTGACGACAGTAAAAACTCTCGCTGAAATATTGAGCAAAACAGTTATTTGATGAAGGCGACAAAACTAGTGAGCAAAATTCATTTAGAGGACAAAACAGTTCCATGCCCTGGCGCTACTGCAGTCACCCTTTTGTTGATAACGGATTGCATTTGCATTAAGATTTCGTGAAAAACCTGATGGGATGATGTGAGCTGTCATTCCACTGACCACCTTATCCAGTTTCGTTACATTTACTAATGACGATAAGATTAAATAGAGCTAACCACTTCAAGGTTTCTGTGTATTTAGATGCAGTTGCGAATATGATGACCTCAACATTTAATTTCTTATGTTCCGTGCACGCCTGTTTATTTTAGTGCATGAACGACTCAAATGGCTGGTGAATTGTTCGACCGAATCATTGCAGGCCATCTAGCTTAATCCCATCAAAATATGCCTTTTTCAACGCTTCAAATAATGCAAAATATTCAGTTCATTGTGATGATTGCAAAAAAANTTCAACATTGTGCGATTGAATTTCAGTTAAAGGTGGCAGTGTGATGTTGATCGCAAGCACTTTCCTAGGATAATAAGATTAAGCAAATTCGGTGGAGAACATCACGATTTTCCAGTTTTTTTTGAATATAAATGTACGAGATTATGTAAATGCGAGTTTTTCCACAGAAAGCAGCGATCAAAGAACATAAAATATGATAGCAGTGTAAGCCGATTAACATTATTGTCATGCGGATCATCGTCAAGATCATCAATTTCCAATGAAATATTTCGTTCGATTCGAGAAAAACATTGTCGACATCGTCACGACACACCATCACGAAACGGTTATTTTTGAAGCAAAATACACTGTCCATGAATTTCATGACTTTAAACAGCGTTCCATATCGTAATGTCTTAATTCTACAGAAAATAATAAAAATTTTCCGCCGTTTATTCAGAAGGCGCCCTCTGATCAGCAAAGGCTTCCATGGCCGACATCAACGGCTGCTTTAGCACAAGCATTGATTCGCCGTACAAATGCGTCAAACCAATCAATGCTCACCAGTTTGAGAGGCGAATTTGAAACTGGTTATCGAATGATTACGTGGACCATACCAAGCCATGAAAGAAACGCTTCAGCACTAAAGGTTTTCAAACATTTTCAAGGCTTTAAAACCGAAGAAATTGAAGCATTCGTTCGGCATCATTACAATCAAGTTTCTTTCAACGCTGCCGACCGTGCGCAAGCAAGCAAACAGCATAGCAGATCGTCGAAAAAAGAAATCCGATATTGTTCATTAGGAACCTGTTACCAGCTTCCGTTTCTCAAATGTCATACTTGTTTTAAAATTGTTTTCTCAAGGAACGAAAAGGAACCTTCACATCAACACGCAGAATCAACGCAATTGGTCATTAGAACCCAGGAAGGGCAACATTTCCTATTTATCTGTGTTTTCTTGTGGTGATTTGCATGAAACTGTGGAATGCGTCAACCGACAACACTTCGATAGGATGATTTGTGGTCATAGCTGAACACTGAATCAGTATGCAAAGAACTGAAAAAAAAAAGATTTGTTCTTGGAAGCCATGATTTTTAGTGTTTGTACTGGTCCAGATGAGTCAGTTTCTGGCCATTTCGTGTCTGGATTCTAATCCTGCTCGATTCAAGAGGAGGCGGGGTTACACCATGCGATGCGAAGCTTTTAAAAGCGGTGCGCACTTGGGGCGAATCATTTTATTCATTCACGAGTACTTCACTTCTGGTCACAGTAACCTCAGTGAATTTGGCAGTTCTGATCGATCCTATAGACTCTAGAGTCACCGTTGTTCGGCTTAATCTCCTGTTCAGGGTTGCTCGAGTTTTTAGTTTTGCCAGATTTGAAACCGTTTGCGGGTTTCATGATCTTTTTCCATAGCGCAAGCAGGAATTCGAGTTCAGCGATGGGGAGCAGGGCTAGAAATAAACTGCTACTGTTTTAAAACACTATGAGGAAATAGCAAATATTATGATTCTGTTGTTTCAGCAGCAGAATGTACGCTAGCACACTCATCGCAATTGTTGCCAGCTTTGTGGCGGTCAGCCAAGCCGCAGTAATTATGTCATACCCGTCTCCGGTTGTTTACTCCAAAGGAATAGAGGTGAGCTTCCTCATTCTCGTCATCTACATACCATCTACTTGCAGTGGGCAACTACCTGTCTTACCGTTATTAGTTGATGTTCAAATGCCCGTTGAAATCGTCGTTTTTGCAGTCACTTTTGCACGATGTCTTTAAATTTCGTACCTAATTTCAAGATAATGTGAGCTCCACTCACTGAGAGAAAGTGAGAAACCTCGATAGGACTCCTCAAACAATCACGGCATTTTCGATGCGATCCTAATCAGGCTGTTTACAGTTCATAGCTCAAAAGGCCATCGAGCAGATCAACATTCAGTCATCTGATTCGTACGTTGAACAAATAGTAGCAGTTCTAGGAGCACAAAGCGCTCCGTCTGGAGGCACTACTGTTGAATTCCTCGTTGGACCCACTACCTGTATGAAAGACGTAAGTATTATGAACATTTCGCATGTCTCCAATTGTCTTCACCATGGTACTGCCAAAAACGTGGTGTTGAGAACAATTTCATCATGCACGAGCAGAACCAGCCACAATGCATCAACATTGAATAGGACGTTCGGAACTCTGAATAGATATATCTTCCAGCGTATGGCTCATTCCTTATATGCCCTAGAATGTGAATTGTGTCGGTGATGCCGACTTCCAAAGGCTATTTTAACACCGAAGACTACCTGCTCCACAGATGGTTGCTAAATTCAGAATTGCTGCTCTCGCAGAAATTCACCACACGCTCGAGTATTCGGAAGCTGTGCACTTCACCATAAATTCCTCTTCTGGATTGTAAAATTTCTATTTGGTGATGATTATTTTCAGGGCTTTGTTCCTGGCGCGTGTTCGCTCTTCGACCCGACACTTACTGAGGTTAGCAAACACATTTCATCATTCCTTGTCGAACAGATCTTGAGACGTCACAATATTGCTTTCATGACGTATTTTTGTCGAAGTATTCATGCGAATACCATGAAAACGGTGTCCATCTACTGAATCAACCAGTTATAATGGCTCACCAAAGACCTATCACTCACACATTTCAACTGTAATGCTCACATTCACTATGTGATACCGAGCTTGGTAAAAGCAAACTAAGCTTAATTCGCTACAGCAACAGTTAACCTAATCAATTTTGTACGTTTGAAACCGATCTTTTTTCAGCCCAACTGGCTCACCAACAACTTGCCGCAACTTCAAGTGTGCACCGTTACCGTGGCGGATGCCTTTGGATCAGTGACCATCCAACAGTGCACGCACCTCGTGGCATAAGTATTCGCTTCGTCTGACCCATCAAACATATGCTTCTGCGAATGGGCCCTTCAAAGGAGCAAATGGCAACTGAATTTGGGTATCACCCAAAGAAGTGTAGCAATTGAATTCTCTATTCAATGCCCTTTTTCGTTCAGTTTTGTTTATGTCCTTTCACATAATTTACGAGAACTGATCGATTTGTTGTTGCGAAGTTTTCGTTTGTGCGTAATATATTCTGCAAATCACTGTCTTTGTTGTGTACACAACAACACCAAATACATATGCAATGAGTAAATCTGAGGGGATTATCATTCCTGAGTAAATATATATGTCTGGTAGAAGACAGAGCTCAAAAGTTGCCGTGATAGCCCTTCGGAGCATTCACTCACTGACCACTGAGAAATGGTAATACTGAAGCTGCTCTACATCCTTCATCTAGCTCATTTTTAAAAGCAATTGAAGCGAAAGCACTTTGAAGTAGTACTATCAACAAGAAGATACTGCCATATTAAGAGTACGGTCACTTAAAATTCCCACTGCTTCATAGTTCAACGACTACTTCGAATTTATGTTCTCTTGAGTTGCATTCTAGGTGAACTTGGTGATAATGATGGGACATTATGTGCGCGTTCGTATGAATCCTCAAAAGTGGGATCTAAGGCAAATAATCGGTGCTTTCCTCCTAATGTGAAGCACTCGAAAATGATATTCAAATTGTGACATCGAAACAACATTCGAATCTAATAATTTGGTGGACGCTGAGTAATCGATACCTTCTTTGGAATAATCTAAGGCGCATGCAAAGCGGAAGATTTAGAATTCTTGACTAAATATCGACGAACTAGGCATGAAAAGATAGGCTGGAAATTTTAAATCGCGGGACGTTAACATCGCCATCATCTGATAATTTCATCCAATAAATATGATGATCTGCTGAGCATTAGGTATCACAGAATATTCCGTAACCACAACCGTAATAAAACAAATCGCGATATTTAAACTGTTACATCTAGGTTGCTCTAAAAAAANAAAAAAACTTTGCTTACGCAACAATGAAATTGTGGTTCGCAACCTCTTATAATGTCATATTTACAAACTCCCAGAGACATGGAATGTTGAAAACGAAGTGAGTTTTATAATTCATCACGAACGTCTTGAGCAGATCGGATTTCCAGCGAAATACGACATACAGTTGGAACGCTTGGACACATCATCCAGTGATATACAAATCGTTCTTGAAGAATTAATGCTGGCTGACAAAAATCTTATTAATCGCAAGACTGTGCTGATTATTGGAGGAAACCTTGGTAGCACGTCAAGAAGTGAATTAGTGGGGTTGATGCAGTTTATCATATGCAATTAGACGAATCTGTTGCAATAAAGAAATATTGATTGAATCATCGCCATACAAAAAAGTGAAACTAGTTCAGATGGAAAGTCTGTACTGCAAAATTTGATATTGTTTTATGATGCCTACATGCACGTCCAGATTAACTAATACTTACAGTATTCGTAAGCCACCTAACAGCTGATAATTTCGTTCATTCCCCCACACCTTTTCACCTTCTGTGTCTGTGTGATTCTGTCTGGCTGCCGGCATCATCAGCACCAATAGCTACTTCTATCTGCGTGCTTTGGGTGTTTTGTATGGACATTTGGGCGTTCTATCATGATCCGATTGGCAATTTTTTTGATCTTTATCTGCCCTTCGGCTTCACAATCAACATCTCACAGAACCATGTTCTGATTTTTCGCTCCTCCTCCTTTGCTTACCATACAGAAAATTAACCAAGAACACAGTTTCATTCATTCAGTTTGCGTACTTCCTGCATGCTTCAGTCGCCCTTCACTCGATTTGCGAACTATCTCGTTTTCCCCACGGGCGTTTCTACGTAATTTGAATGCTACTGACTTTCGATTGTACGTCTTTCAGGAGTACAGTAAAAGAATACATCCGGCCTAATGCAAGTTGGCAGCGTTGTTGCGATCTTCCTTTGTGCTTTGGCACTAATTGTGTCAAGTCAGCCATGGGACGGCCGTTACAAGAAGCTTGATGTGAATGATGAGAAAATAAAGGTTGGATTTGCAGCCAGTAAATATATTACGTTTTGCAAGCCATTGGCTCATGCTCAGAAATATCCAACTCAATTCCAATGGTCGGTTTGTCCGTGCCCGTCATCACTGAACCATTGTAACTGCTTGTAGGAGTTGGCGAATAAGGCAGTGGAGAAAAGCAATGAAAAATCGCAATTCCCGTCTTGGCATGCTCTCAAAGAGATCGTTAGTGCGAAAGTGCAAGTCGGTGGTACGCAAAATACCGTACTCGAGCTGAATCTTCATCCAACGAATTGTAAGAATGAGGTGAGCGCCTTCGAAGCTGTTTCTTTGTCAATATACTGTAATTGAGATTGCTCCAGGATTCAAGCGTTCACTTCAGCAGTTCTCCACGGCCATTCATATCGCATAAATCAATATTTTTTCCATGCGTTCACTGATATTATTTGACGATTAAATCTAGAAGCTGCTCCATTGCATGGCGTTTTTTCGCCTTCATCGGAATCGAGAATGTGAGAATCTAGAAGCAGGAAGATTGATATAGTCACAACGCGCACTGATGCCGTATTTATCAATTTCAGGTGCCAAAACCAAAAACGGAATGTGAGATGATGAAGAATACAATAGGACAGGTCAGTAGTAATCTGTGAATTTCATAGTCATCTGTCAAAGCGTTTTCCTCCTGCAGAGCTTATGCAATAGCCCGTGATGGAAGAATTTTCAGCCGAGTTGAAGCGCTCAAAGATGCATGTGTGGTTTTCTCTCATGTTTTCTCATGTGTAGTTGAATATTGATTCGATTTGCAAAGTTCTAAATGCTTGATATATTCCATTTCGCTGAGTCAGTTAACCAAACACTTGTTATAGTTGTGCATGGTTTCGATTCCCCAATCGCAGGATGAGATCAGGGTCGTAGGATGCGTTCCAGAAAATGCAGTCGAGCTGCTCAAGAAAAAGGTCGAGGCAAAGACGAAACAATAAATCACTTATCGACTGCACTTATCATTAGTGGAACTAAATTACCATTACATTTCTAGCTAGCTTTGTGCGATTCGTACTTATGCCATTGTTGTTTCATGTTACCGTGCATGCCAAAACATTATGAATAATCAGGGAATACGTATGCCCGGAATAAATTTGTGACTNCCAGTTTGGATACGGTATCTTTGATGTGCCGTCCTATATCATGGTGGTCTCCGTCCACCACTCACACTTCCACGCGCTGTTCCGTGCTGTCTTTCTCCACCGTCCATTTTTATGCTACTTTGGTATAGTGTTTTTTCTGATCCCAATTATTTTCTTCTTATATTGGAGCTACTTCATAAAGCGGTCTCCACAAACACCATCTATGAGATTTCTTTTGGGTGGACTTGAAAGTGCTCTTTTGATGCGTTTTTCCTTTGCTGCATCAACCATAGGTTCTCATGGAAATCTAGTGGTCAGTGTGTGGATTGGCATAACGCAGATTCTCAAAATTATTCAGTCTAATCGTTATGGACTACACCGTTCTCATTCAAGAGTCTCATCTCAGATTGGTTTCTCCTTTTTCTTTCTCATAGCGTTCCAGAAACTCTACTGAAATGTCTTCACAGAGCACAGAAATGAAGAATAAGTGACCTGAAAGCATTGCGTTTCATAAGAATGAAGAAGCGGTAAATCAGCGAACGGAGTGTCCCATTCATACGTTTTGCTAATTTCTTTGTACTTATATCTGATCCTTTACGAAGAAAATTCTATTTTTCCAAAATGTATCGTTTTGATCTGTCAAGGTTGCGAAAACGAATCTGAGATGATTAGTGAATGAGTTGCCTACCAACCAATTAAGTTCAGAAACTAGAACATGACGTCGTTACAGAAGTTTCGAAGTAACATTATATCCAATCTCATAAGACGTTCGTAAACTGCGTTTTGGTTTGGTCAAGCCAATGACTGGACAGAATGTCCCAGTTTTGTTAATGTAACAATTCCTTGAAGTATTGATGCAATACTTGCTTATATTAATTAGATATTTTCAAAGCATGAAACAGTTCTTATCGAAATCAGGAGTTGCCTATATGACAATGATAATTAAGCTGGTAGTTCAAAGAAATCTTGTTCGATGAGTATATTGCTATCAATATGCAAATGAAAGCAGTTGAAACTGGAACGAGTCGTCTGTGCGCTTATGAGAACGATCGCGTTGCAAGTACAAAAAGGTAATCTTGCGAAAGGAATTTTTGACGCTCATCAAAGTGAACTGGTTGCGACCATTGAGTCCGGACGGCTTTTTCGTATGCATAGTAAGGAATGGAACGCAAATAATCAATGCACAAGTTTGACATTGAGGGAAATGAAAACATATCACTCATGTAATCTCGGTTTCCAACTCAAAACTGTAAACATTCAAAATACGAATCATTGACTCTTAATAACTATGCATTTTCGTCGGAGTGATTGGATTTGTCCTCGAAACTAGCATCTTGTGCTAAAACGGCAGTCGTACAAAGGCTTCACTCAAAAGATTCTCTCGAAGAGTCCGCTGAAACATCAGAGTGCTTGTGAGAAATATTCTGTGCACGTTTGCGATATAAGTTCATCCTTGCAAATATAAGTTCATGTAACGCTCGTATGTAATGTCGATTCATTTATTTGATCGAGTGAGTCGATTATTTGAAAGGTATCAGTCAAATTCCAGCGCAAAAGCCGATATAATGCACCCATACGAAGTGAGTGTACTGATTTTATGCTTGATAAGCATAAGAAAGATACAAGGTGATGCCGAAGATGGACGCAAGAATGAAGATGTTAATGATCCAATCATACAGGTAAAAGTGTTCATTTCTATAAAGATGCGGAGATACAAACGAGCACAGAGAGAAACTTTTGAAATTCGTTAGCATGCGCTAAAATGCTTGGAAATATTCGTTTTAACAGTGAAAAGATCCTTTGAAGACGTTAGCTGACCGGGCGGTCGATCAAATCAACAAAGAATCGAAAGGTGACTACCGATCGGAACTGATAAAAATTGTCAGTGCTAAAACTCAAACAATCAACGGCAAAACAACTACACTCCTGTTGCTCACTCAACGTAACTACTGTCCTGTTTCTGTAAGTCGCCACGCATTGCAATTTTCAGGAACATAAGCGATTGCAATTTGGAAAGAAAATGACCTGAACAAGCAAATGCGCTAATTACGGACTGGGAATTACCTAAATGCGAGATTTGATGCCTCGGAGTTCTTCAGTTTGCAAATTTCAACTGAATGCTTCGAAAAAAATAGTTGGAATTCACAGCAAGCGTCTAATTTGCGCCTGTATATTTGAAAAGATTGGTCTATTGAGGCGCCTTACTTTGTAATTGTTGGTAATTTTTGGTAATCAAATGAACTTGAATTCGTATGTATCATATATATTGGAGTCATGCCTAATTCAACTGTCCAATTGCAGAAGTCAGGGAGACGGAAGTGCTTCACTCTGCCAACCGCATTTCAGAGGGTTAGTTCTCTGCAGTCCGCAGATCCTCGATTTTTTAATCAGCTTTCAGTAAGATAGGCAACAATTTCAAGATGTTCGACTACTCAGCTACACATCAGTCATATTAACAGCCACAATGCTGTACCAAGCTGAAGTTTTGACGACACCGGTCGAGCAAGTCATGAAATCCGGACGCTACTATCAACATTGTTCGTTCTGAAAAAAATGTCAATCCAAAAGAAACATATTTCAGATTTATGAAATTGCAGTCGAGTACGCACCGATGCAGACATCGCAAACGCCTCGAATGATCAGCTCGCATAAGCCTCCGGTGATCAAAGTAGTGAGATGGATTCCATCAAATGGCGGAAGCGTCTCGAAAAGCAAATGTAGCAAATAAGTTCAGTTCAGGGGCAGGAGAGAGACCGACCTATTTTTGCAGGATAGGAAACATGCAGACTTTATTTTGCAGCTAATTAGTATCGCAGTCATTCAGACCTTGCATTCAACTATGTAATGTCATATGAGAAGTTTGATGGAGAGGCATTTGATTTTCCTGAATCCTTCCGCAAAGGGTTGATGTAGGAGAAGTGAGAAGCAAGATTGCATATTACTCCTCATGTTCTGATGTATTTGTTCGCAGTCAACTAATGCACATTTGATGACCATTTTGTCATAATTTTCGAAATATAATAAGTAGGAAACAGTCAAATTTGAGATGATTGGATCATTGGGGTCATGGAAAATCGGTTACCCTTCCATTAAAC